TCTCTTTTTAATCTCTTGAATTGAATTATTTTCTTCACAGAATAAGGAAAAGTTGGAAAAACTGAAAGGCCAGGCAGAGCAGTTTTGCCAGAGACTCGGCAAGTATCGGATGCCTTTTGCCTGGACAGCCATTCATCTGATGAACATCGTGAGCAGCGCTGGGAGCTTGGAAAGAGATTCCACGGAAGTCGAAGTTGGCACAGGAGGTACAGTCCTTGGCACCTGCATGAGGGAATGTGGGCAAGTCCAGAGCTTACTGAAGTCTTGATTCATACCCTGTAGCTGCCGTTGCTCCTTTTATCGCTTCCCCCCCGCCCTGGGCCTTCTGATAGTCTGGGGTCATGGTTGAACTAAAACAGAAAAGTCCGTGATAACAAATGGATTTATCTTTCAAGGATTTTACAAGCAAACCATCTGTTATATTATTTAAAACCAAGCTTCTAAGACTGAGAGAGTGTTCCAGGCTGATGAACATTTTCCAAAGGAGTGGATTAATCTTTGTGAGCTCATCTGAAACTGCTCTTCAGCATCCCCAAAACTGCCAACTTCATCATCTTTCAGAGCAAGAGAAATACATAAATCTCAGCATGATGAAGACCTTTACAATAGCAGTAAGGTTGCTGTGAGAGGAGCAGGAGTCAGCTGTGCTTCACAGCCTCTGGAGTGGGGTTGCCTGAGCATAACCACCTCTTCTGCCATCCTCCATCCTTTTGTGAAGGAAATCCTGGTTGGAACAAAAGTAGGCTCTTGGACTGTTGTTTTTCTTTCTTTTTTAATTTCTTTCCCCTTTTTATTTTTTGCAGAACGTAAAGGATCGTGGTCGGAGAGGAGGAATTCCAGTATTGTTGGGAGGCGTTCCTTGGAGAGAACCACGAGTGGGGATGAGGCTTGCAACCTGACCAGTTTTAGACCAGCTACTCTGACAGTGACAAACTTCTTCAAACAGGTATGATGTGAAGCTGTCTAATTAAGGAGTTGTTCCTTGGACAGAGGGGTTTGATCATTTGAAGTCACTTTAGACCTGAATGACTTATTTGTGATGCTTGTAATATTTCCCTGATCACAGGGGGATCTTGAACATCATGCAGTGGGTTTATTGTATCATATATTAATGATCATATAATCACAGAATGGTTTGGGTTGAAGGGATCTTAAAGTTCATCTCATTCCAACACCCTGCCATGGGCAGGGCACCTTCCACTATCCCAGGTTGCTCCAATCCCCGTCCAACCTGGCCTTGGACACTTCCAGGGATGGGGCAGCCACAGCTTCTCTGGGCAACCTGTGCCAGGGCCTCACAGATATTTCTGCCCAATAGCCTACTTTCTTCCACTTATATAATACTATATAATGTATTCTGCCAGTAATGGGTCCACAGTCAATTGATGGATTCTTTCAATAAATTTGTGAATAATTATCTTGTGGAACTTGAAATTATTGGCTGCTTTTGACTTGAATGCTAAAGCATCGTTATGGCTTAGTGACTTAACCACTCCAGTTAACAGAACTGGGTCCTCACAGAAGAACATCAGTTTTTCTTGCTCCAGATTTTTCTAACATGCACTGGAAAAGTCACTGGCTGAATGGGGCTTGGAGCAACCTGGTCTAGTGGAAGGTGTCCCAGCCCATGGCAGGGGGTGGAACAAGATGGGCTATAAGGTCCCCTCCAACGCAAACCATTCTGTGATGGTCAGTTGATTCCTTTGGTTTCACTGGGTGATTGAAACATCAGCAGGCTCAGAACCAGGTTCCTCAGTGTGATTTGAGGTTGACATCAGTTCTCTGGACACATCCAGGGATCCCTAAGAAACCAAAGCATTCTGCTTCTGATGTTGCTTTGCTGAGTGGCAGCTCTTCTAAGCCAGAGCTTGGGATTTTCCCAAGAAGAAGTAGAAAACATGATTTAATGGAATAAAATTTTTAGTTAAGCTTAGCAAAAAGTAATGAGCTGAAACCGTTTTCTAAGATTTGCTTAGTGCCACATCTTGTTAAGAAAACTTTTTATTTCAGTGTCACCTTTGTGTATAAAACCAGATTTTACAGTGACCAGCAGATATCTTTTGGTCTGATTTCTTGCTCATTGAGAATAGAAAGATTTGGGTTCTATCCGTTGAAAGTTGGCTAAGCTCTTCTTTTTTTCTCCTTTTTTCTTGATTGTTTTGGTTATGTGCCACTTGCATTGTGGGGAGCCATGCAAAGTCTGGTCTTAAATACAGTAGTGATAAGGAGAAATGTCATCAGGGACATCAGGTCATACTGGTGGAGAGCATGTAAGTGAGGGTCGCTCCTGCCTCTGGTGCTCTCTGTGTCCATGAAACTCAGTAGGAGTGAAATGGGGTTCTGTGTCAGTGACAGAACAGCACTGGAAGCTCCTTTTACTTGGAAGATTAAAAAAATCCAGTTCTGCAATGAAAAAAAGTAAGGCAAAAAAAAGCATTACTGCATTGCTAGTGCAGCCTTTCCCCTGACCTGCTCCGCAGCCCTTGTTGGAATAAAACTGGTGTAAAACACCACTTCACGCTGGCCACTAAGTTGTCAAGGATTTAAAAAGCATGTATTTATTTACTTTGTTGAGGTTGTTTTCTCTTGACAGCTTTGAAACAGCTTGTTTTATTAATTTGCCCTTTAAAAACTGTCAAACATTAAAATTTTAAATTTCTGATTCTTATCTTCTTTTTCTTAAGTCTAGTTAGTTGAATACTACCCAGTGTTTTTATCCTTCCATTTACTTTTTTTTTTTTCATATTGTGATTTTTTACCTTTTTTAGCAGATAGCTTCTACTTTGGGGTAGTTAAAGAGTGGCAGAGTCACATTTTCTGTAATGTTTGCAAAATTAACAAAACTCTGAGCTACTAGAATGTGGTACAAGGAAGACTGACAACACTCCTTCCACTTCCCACTGTTTCTTTACACTTCTGGAAAGTAAGATTCATTTAGGCTCATCCCAAAGGAAGGGCAGAGGAGAAGGAATGAGGCTCACTACCTGAATGACAGATACTTTTTCAAACTATTATACTTTCTAAAAAATGGATATTTTGGGGGAAATCTTTTAACAGCCATTTTCAGTTTTGAAAAAGATAATATTGATGGGGAGAGAAAAGGTTTTCAATTAAAAGTTCCTGTAGCTGTCACAATGATTAATAAGGGATAAAGGAAGGGAAAAGGATGGAGAAATGAAGTGTAATTTAACATGTTAATGTTAACACCTTGTTCTGGGACGGTACATTTTGATGTCAGAGAAAAGAGGCTGTAGTGTGAGATGGTTTATTCTCTCTCTGGCCGTTCTGGTGGGTTGTTTAGATAACCAAATTCTTCCTACCCCAACAGGAGGGCGATCGCCTGAGTGATGAGGATCTGTACAAGTTCCTGGCTGACATGAGACGCCCGTCATCGGTGCTGCGGAGATTGAGACCCATCACAGGTATCAAAAGGGGATCCTTTTGGGTCACATGTTAAGGTATTTGGCTAATCCTACCCAATTTCCCTCCGTTTTTGGGTGTTGTCACCCAGGAACCCTGAAGAAGTCCTTGACACCAATCCATGGCAGACCAGGAGCACTAAGGTGCATTTTGTCAGGTTTTTCACTGGTACAGGTGCACATGCAGCTCCTGTCACACTGAGACTAGTATCTGTGAGAGGAGGATGCAAATCCCAGTGCCCAAAACCCAGCAGAAACTGAGGAACCCTGTTTTCCACTCTCTATCCAAAAGGAGATCCCTCTCCTGGGTTAATAGGAGCAGACTCCACCTCTGCTTGAGAAAGGGAAACAGAAACGCTGGCACACCAGCAGTGAAACTGGTCCTTGACCTGTGCTATTCCTGACAATATTTACTTAACCTGTTCTTAAAAATCTCCGGTGACAGCAATCCTGCTGCTTCCTTGGATCATCTCCCCGGCGCTCAGCTGTCCTTGCACTCAGGTTAAGCTTTAAGAAAACTTGGCAAAATTATCTTGCTGCAAATTAAACTGATTGTGGTCTGTCATGGCCTCAGGGCAGTGATCACAACCTTTCAAGCACTTGAATACCATTATTAGTTTATGCTGTTCACCTCTGTTTTGTAGCCTGACAAGTCTCAGAGTTTTTCAGCCCTTCCTCTATACCCTTCGTTTGTTTGTAACAATAGTTGGCCCTCACAGGAGCATTATCTACACTGTATTTCCCCAGTTTGCCTATGAAAAAATCATCTGTGACTTTTTATGATACATATTTCCTGTTGGTCCTTATTATCTGGTCCCCCAGTTGCCCTAGATATCAGTTTGACTCGCTGATAGTTGTTTTTAACAAATCCACATTGGCTGTAATTTATCATTTGTTTATTTATGGAATTAATATGTAGTATATTAATCAGAAGAAGGAAAGCATGATTATGCTTTTTTTGTTTAAATAATTTCTATTTATTGTAATAAAATAATTTTCTTCTTACAGCTCAATTAAAGATAGACATATCTCCAGCTCCAGAGAACCCCCACTACTGTCTCACTCCAGAGCTGCTGCAAGTCAAGCTTTACCCAGACAGCAGAGTCAGACCTACAAGAGAAATCCTGGAGTTTCCTGCCAGGGATGTCTACGTTCCAAATACCACATACAGGTCAGAGCTTTGAAATACATTTCACATTTCAGGGCCTCAGACTGGCAAGTCTAGAAATTCCTACCTTATCACCTGGGTTGTTGCAAAACTTGGTATCTGGGTAGATCTGCTGTGCCAGAGGCACTAAGAGGGTTCAGAGTGACACAGCAGAAGATACACAGTTGTGAAGGGACAAACATATTTTCACCAAAATTGGCTGTGCATAAGAGCACGTGAGAGATTTCACCATTTCCCAGAATTCAAGATGGCATTTAGTTGAATTCTTTTCAGTTTTATGTAGGATTTGTCCTTTATCTATCTGCTAAAGTCATCATTCAATTACTGGTTTTATTACTTTCTGACACTTTTCAGTGACTTTTTTTCTTTTAAGTAAGGAAAAATGGAGAAAATACATAACGTTTTCATTTGTGTTTCCATTTTGATTTAAAAGCAATTTCTTTGTTTACAATGCCTGAAAAAAAATCTTAGGAAGATAAGAAATTTTTCTGAATATCATGAAAAACAATGACCTTTCTATAACTAAGACCAGACAGGGAGCAGATTTCTGTTCATGGTTAATTTAAAGCTTTTTCACAGTATCTTTGAAGACATTACATGTCTGAGTAATTTCAGCTGAGTAATTTCACCAATTTACCAAATCCATTATTTCTTTTTGTAAAATTTAGATACGAGCCAAATTTTTATAAACCTAAGCTTATAAGAAGAGTTTAGTCAAGTTCCATATTGTGTCTTTTGAAAAGTTATATTTATTTATTTATTGGACAGGTAATGAAACATTACGATACACCAGTACAAATAAGCAGCACTGCTTGATCTCTTCTTTATAATAAATCCATGAGAAGTAAAAGTATTCTTTCTGGTGTTTCTGTAATTAGCACATTCTGTTCACAGTTGGTTTGCTCTGGAAAATTACAATTTAAAACCATTTTCTGTGTGGTTGCAAATGTTGAGATAAAAAGTCTGTACTGTACAAGGGTTGGGTGAGATAGACAAGTCAATATGACTCACTGTAACTGCAGAATTGGGGTCTGGATCCCTCAGCACTGATCCTTAGAGTGTCCTGCAGCTGAAGTTAAACATGGGAATGTCCTCAGGAGCTGGACCAACACTGTCACATGGGCTGTGCCTACAGGGTGTGTGGGTTGGTACCACTGGCCCCCTTGGAGTTGCCCCACAGGCAGCTGTTCTCTGTTTGAAAGGCATTTTGTTGTGTTCTCACTTGGTCTTTCATTTTGTTTCTTAGTTGGTTGTACTAAGAAGTCACAAAGGCTTGGCTCTGATTCATTTCACATGAGAAGAACAGATCTCTTACTCATTTCAATAAGCTTTGAAGTTTAGCTTTTAACAAACCGTAGTCGTGAAGTTATTTTTCAGTGTGGTATCTAAAAGATCAGCTCTGCGCTCTGGCTCACTGATGTGTGTGTGCACACACCTGTAACTGTGTGAGTACAGTGCTCCAGAGATGATTTGCCTCAGCTACACTGCTGAGAACTTGCCTGGAAGTACACAGAGCCCTACAAGGGGGAATTACCCATCTTCCATTTGCTCACAAAAACATTCCACAACAGTAAAATGAACCGAACATCAAATTAGTTACTTTAAGAAACAAAATTTCTTTTTTTCCCTATAGAGGTTAACACCTAAATGTTTTTCCATACCATCATGCCAGACCTTTTTTTTCCTGAAACACTTTTTGTTTTCCCTACCACACAACCAAAAAACAAATGCAACAGCCTGAAAACCCATTCCCCCAAGCAATATTATTCAGTACATGAGTAGGTGGTTGACTCCGAAGCATTAGAATTCATCCTGGGGAGGTAAAAGCTCCACATTGACATTGAGGCTTGAGGGAATAAAAATACTCACCAGGTGTATTGTAAGACCATCTCAGATGCCTCAGGTTTATGTATTGGAGAAGACTCCATACAGGGTATGGATTGAGACAGGCATCTGTTAGTAAACAAAGCATGGAGTCCTTTGATGTGGTAACGTTCAGTGAGTATGTTCTGAATTAAAATGCATCAGGTCGAGCCCTCAGTCAAAGCTTTTTAAATCCGTTGGGTGTATCATTATTTTAGTTGACTTGAGAAAGTAGTATCTTCCTTTCTTAGGCTTCCAGTACAGGCCTTTTCTTCTGTCTAGTCTTGCCCTGGACCTTGGTGTGACGTATTTCCCGTTCAGGTTGGTTTCCTCACACTCACTGTGCCACCAGCCTCCTAAGGAACAATGTGGGAATGTTAGTTACTGCCACTTGTACTCTGACACGCTGCTCTGTTTCTGAGGAACAGCTCCTGTTTGCAGCATAAATCTGCTTTAGACTCTAGAATTGACGATTACCCAGTATACCCAAATCATGGAACCATTTAGGTTGGGAAAGTCCTCTAAAGTCACTGATTCCAACCATTCCCCCAGCACTGCCAAGGCCACCACTAACCCATATCCCCAAGTGCCACATCCACATGCCTTTTAAATCCCTCCAGGGATGGAGCTCCCACCACTGCCCTGGGCAGCTCTGCCAGGGCTGGATAACCCTTTCTATGAAGGGGTTTTCCATCATATCAATCGAAGTCTCTCCTGGTGTAACTTGAGGCCATTTCCCCTTGTCCTGTCCCTTGTTCCCTGGGAGCAGAGCCTGATCCCCCTCGACTTCATCCTCCTGTCAGGGAGTTGCAGAGAGCCAGAAAGTCCCCCCTGAACGTCCTTTTCTCCAGGCTGAGCCCCTCCCCGCTCCCTCAGCTGCTCCTGGTGCTCCAGACCCTTCCCCAACTCTGTTCCCTTCTCTGGACATGCTCCAGCCCCTCAATGTCTTCCTTGGGTCCCTTGCTGGGGACCCAAAACTGAACCCCAGAACTGAGTGACACTCTGGGTGTTGTTTCAGACATTCACAATTTTCAAGCCTAGGAGGATGTACAAAATATTTGTTGCATGAAGCAGGTGCCTTGGAGGGCAATTCTGTATTCTGTGGTTTAATAATTTAATTGCTTTTTCAGTTGTTTGCTTTTTCCTATAAACTGGCAAACATAAAAGCTCTAGAAAATCAAAGCATTAAGAACCCTTTAACCAAATTATCTCCAAGGAGCCTTGCATCTCCTGCTCTTTTGAAAGTGATTATAATATGTATACTTGACAAACAACTAAAATCTGCCTTTGAATGGAACCTCACTGTCATTCTTAGCTTTTGGGTTGTAGTTAAAATGGAGTTAAGAGTCAGTTTGTCTTCTGTGTTTTCTTGCAAGAAGGCATTAAACAAGCCCACCTAGGGCTGCCACACCAGACCAAGCATCAGAGAGGGACTGCCCTTGGCTTCATAGCTCAAAATCTCATGCTGGGGGTTTATTTCAACCTGTGCTGCCTGTTCTGTTTCTGATGTTGGTAATTTACACAGGAGGGCAGGGTTAGATGGGATAATAGGAAAAATTTCTTCTCTGTGAGGATGGTGAGGCCCTGGCACAGGTTGCCCAGAGAAGCTGTGGCTGCCCCATCCCTGGAAGTGTCCAAGGCCAGGTTGGACGGGGCTTGGAGCAACCTGGTCTAGTGGAAGGTGTCCCTGCCCATGGCAGGGGTGTGGATTAGGTGAACTTTAAGGTCCCTTTCAACCCAAACCATTCCAGGATTCTATGTTGCACCCTAATTCGTGCAACAAAGCAATTCCTATGTTAATATTCCCAGCATACTGATACCTAGGAAGTTTTGTGGGCAGTTGGAGTCATGTTTTGTGTCCACATCGTGGTCTGCAGTCGAGAACTGCAGCTCTGTCTCCTCTGGGAGGGCGTTGGGAATGCTCCCAGAGATCCGGGAAAGCTGGAGGGTGTAGTTGGTGTCGGGGCCTCCCAAGCTGAACAAGTACTCGATGTGACGTTTGTTTCCTTTCCAGTCCTGCAGCTCAATCCGTAGGATGTAATCCCCTTGTTTAGTGATGGAATAGGTCTTGTTCAGGCCCAGCCAGAATTCCTCTGCAAAGTTGGAGTAAATAAATGTTGTTAATGTGGAATTAGGCATAAATACACCATGTATTTCAGATCTTTAACCCATCCCTCAGCTTGTTCACCTTTAAAATATAAATATTTGGAAATATATGTTCAAGTAATCTGCACAAGGGCAGACCTGGGAGATGTCAGAGCTGAGGACGAGGGACAGAAGTTTGTGGGGAAGGGGCTGTGTGATACACTTACCCTAAAAACTCACATTTTTCACACTGCTATTGAGTTTGCTTTTACAGATAACCTGTAGGTAGTATGTGTGAAAATAGTATTTAAAAGGATTTATTAATTGCTTTAATTAAATCAATAATTTGAGTCTTGGGGACTGTTGATCTTTGCAGAGGTCTGCTGCTACATTCTTTTTGTTTACCTCTGTTTAATTGCACACCAATGATCAATAAAAGCAAGAGATATAAATGAACTGGAGCTTCTCTCTTTAACTTTCCCACCTCATGTGAAACTCTGAGAGGGAGACATTTAAAACATGTAATTGGAACTGTGTGACAAATGAAGCAAATGACATACATAAAACCTAATGGCAATTGTTGCATTTTCTAAGGAAAGAGCTGCAGAACTAAACTTGGGTTCCCTTGTGTAAAAAGGGAATTTTTCTTTTACTGGAATTCTTGGAAATTAGTTTAATTAGTTTCATATATTATATTCATTAAGTAGGTGATTATCAGTGCAGGTAATTGCCATATGTAGAAAGTGTGGCTGAATGTGAGTGCCATGTGTGCAGCTGGCATTTAAAGCCATAGAAGATAAGATGGTTGAGTAAAATACTCCCACCATTTACAGGTTAGTAGCAGTAACCTGGTATATTTGATCACCTCAGAACATGCACTGAGTAGGACATAACTGAGAACAATGCAAAGCCTGACACTGAAAAAATGTGGCTTAATCTTGGTGTAGTATTTGGGAATTGGAGACTACTCAAGGAACAATTATAGCTCAGTAAAACTGTACAGGTGAAAATCTACCTCAGTTGTGAATTACTGTCTCAAAATTGAGGCAAAGGTTGAGATACAGCAGCTCTTTATTGTAAAAGATGTGGAAATAAGTCAATACTGCTGCCCACCTTGGTGAGGTTTAGATCTGTGCTGTGCCTAGAAAGTAAAAATATTTTCTAAACAAAAGGAGTCTCATCTAATTCTGTGAGAAAAATAAGGAAAATACTTTGGATGGGCAAAGAGCTGCTGTTGGGCAGCTCTTGGTGCTACAGATTCTTTGGAGTTGATGATTAACGGGGGAATGTGGGTGTTTCCTCACCCTATCCCACCATGGAGGGGATTGGCCACTGCACAGAGGAGCCGGATGTGTTTGCTCAGGGGAGCAAACACAGCATTCGGATCTCTTGAGGTTGGAAAAATTCTTGTCATGGTTTTAGGGGAAACAGGATTGCAGAGGTTGAGAGAAAGTAGCGACAGAAACTTTGTGAGGTTTTGCGTTTGTGAATATTTTAAAGACTTTGGGTAGTGCTTTTATCAGTAGTAAAATCTTGATAAAATAGCATTTAAAGCATTCTGGCCTGATTCAGTTTCTAAACACACATTTGAAGGGGTGTCTTTGAGAATTTTACTGAGTTGTGTGTTCTGGTAAGTGCTTTGTGGTAGTCTGCTGTATCAGTCACCTGTTCAGATTTTACTGCAGGTTTTGCCTGCTCTCATGTGAACACCTCTCCATAAGAAGAATCAGCTTCTCAAATCAATTGATACAAATAGACAAAAAAAGGCATATTTACCATTGAGGTCACCAAAACCCTTTGTGTAGGCATCCCAGGTTTGGTTGAAATCCAGTGATCCATCCACTCTCTTCTGGATTACAGTCCAGGAGGTGCCTGTGAAAAGGGGAAATGAGTCACAACCTGGCCTTATTGCCTGTCTATGAGTGTGCTCTTGGGTGCTCTAATTTTGAGGTAGAATGAGTTAGTTAAAATCTTCGTGAAGGGAATTCAAGTGAGCCCAGCTGAAGAGAATGTGGGGCCATTAGAGTGTCCTCACCACGCTTGTGGTGACTCAGCTCACTGGACTGGCTTTGATAGGCTGCCTTAACTGGGTTTCATTCATTTATGAGGGCTGAGAGACAGAGAAAATGATAAAAAAGAGATGTGAAAAGCTCTAGGCGTTGGATCAGATTGTCAGACTCACTCTGCTGATAGTGCTTGGCTGCTGGTACAGCTCTGGAGGAGGGATGAAGTGCCACTGGAGCTTCAGTGGGGCCTTTCCCCTGACCAGGTCACGACACCCTCGTTTCACCAGTTTCAACCAATGTAAGCAAAGGAGCTTTTTGCGCAGCACAGCCCCATGTGGGGCTATTCACACATCCACTGTTTGCTTTTCCTTGGGAGATCTATTCGTGGTTGCCATATAATGGCTTTTATAATTACCATTTTCATTATCTATAGCTAAAGGGGCTTATTCTTTTGATATACTTAATTGATGTCATATGATTGAAAGTCCTTTCCTTGGTATAAGCAAAAGGTGAGTAAGGTGAGTAAAGAATGAAAGCAGTGTTAAGGAGATTTCAGGATATGGAAAACCTGAGTTCAGAGCACAGACAGGCCAGTAGGAGAAGTCAAGAGGATACATAAATCATGGTAAGTTTTTGTGTACTTTGTGATGAGACACAGTTGTTTGGCTTATAAGAAGCTACTTATGTGAAAATGAGACTATTGCTGGCACAGCTCTTACCAAATTTCATTTCACAGTAGACATCAAAGGCTTCTGAGCCGTTGGGCTTAATGGTGTAAACACCACTGAACCGCTCACCACTGTGATAGAGAGCAGTGCAGTCAGGAGCAGCACCTGGGAAAGCAAACAGCAGGCATTTAGAAATCCTGTTTTAGGTGTGGTAAGTTGAGAGCCAAAAAAAAAAAAAGTAGAATTATCATATTGGGAATTTTATAATAAATGTCATGGAACGGGCAGACTACTTTGAGCATACTGATACTGCCAAGTTGTACATAGGTTGAACTGCCTGTATTTTTTAAGATAGGCAAGGTTTCAGTTTGGAATCTTCTGGAAAGTTTCTAAGGCCTAAGACTAGACTCTGACAAATGGACTTTCTACTCCATGTAAAGTTCCCTATAAATACCATTTCCCCTCCTGGGCTTCACCACTGCCTTTCAACTGTATAGAAAGCTCTTCTGAATCTTTTAATTAGACGGTGTGAAGTAAATTAGTTCTCTGATCATACTCTGCAACACAGACATGGGTTAAAGGATGGCCACAGCACATATTTACAAGAGGTGAATGGATCCTGAGGACAGGATTGCTGCATTATTGGACTTTGTTCTCATGGGTCACCCCAGAGACACTGGGGTGGTGCTAAATAGGTGGTGGTATTTTTTCCAAAGGAAGAAATGTAGCTCCTTCCCACACCCCTGTGTATAACATGAAAGTCTTTTAGTTTTAGTCTTTGACTTAAATACCGACTCAAAACTTTCACAGAGGATACTGTGAATGCAATGTGTGCTGTAGTCATGTCTGAGAGATGAGGTCTCACCATCAGATCTGTATCTTCCAGCTGTGGCTTTGAGCACAGGAAAGGGGATAGTCTCTGGTTCTGGTTGCTCCTCCGTGAAGGAGTTCTCTATGAGTTCCTGGAGCTCTATGTGATTTAGCTGAAAGAATCATAATTACACTTAATTTCCCGAGGCTCTGAAATTATGAGATTCGTGGATCAAGCTGAATAATACCGTGCTGAGAATAATTTTTTTGTGAATGTAATCCTTTAGAATACCCAATTTGCCACATAAAAATAACTTTAGCACCACACTAGCGGATTTCAGGTGCATGAATGTCAACTGAGCCACTGCTCAGACAAGGTAGGATTCATGAGACAAGTAAATGACCCATTCTCATGAGGAGCACCTTAATGGGCAAACAGATTTAACTTATTTCCTCAGGTGACATCACTTACACAAATAATACCAACATCTAAAGAGCACAGAACCCACAGTTCCTTAGGCTGAAATGCATTTTCCTTTTATAGCCTCCTCTTAGGAATAAGTTAAATATGACTATGTCTGTTATACCCGGTGTTACGGTGACACATGTACTGCAGAACGTGGCTCCCTGTGGGAGTGGATATTGGAAAAGCAGAAAGAGGTAGAAAGTAATGAGACTTCAAGACCAGTGGAAGAACAATAATATGATAGATAATAAGATAAAAAACAAAATTAGCAGTCACAAAATGCAGCAGCCTGGCGTTGAGAGACAATATATCAGAGCTGTTCCTGGCCATGGTACAGCAGCCTCTCACCTGAATGGGCACCTGTTTGTGCTCAGAATTGTTCATATTCTCCTCTACATCCCCAAACTGAATGAGGCCCTCAACTCCTTCAGTGTTAGGAGAGGTGAAAAGAGGAGCAGAGATGGTTCCTGTACCTTGTCCTCCAGCTCCATGATTTGGTTGCGCTGCCTGTCAAGCTGCACGTGCTGGTCCTCCACGATTTTGAGAAGCTGCTTGATGTCATTATCCTGCTGCTCCACAAAAGCCTGAGGGCAGGAAGGAAGAGAGGTTGTGGTTAGGAGCAATAGAAGACCTTCACAGTGGTGCTGCCTCTGTAACTTTTGTCAAGGGGCCAGTTTTGAGAGGCACAAACTATTGGTCATTGCCCTTCCTTTTCCAGAGAATTGTACAATATCCTGAGTTGGAAGGGACCCACGAGGATCATCAAAGTCAAGCTTCAAAGGGGTGTCTGCTTTGCCTCTAAAGGGGCAAATTTCTTTCCTTCTGTAATAAACACCCATTTTTTTCCAAGACAAACTACTTTGTAGACCATTTTTGTTGTTGCTTTCCTTCCATTTTCACATCCAGAACAATTTATGTTCTGTGGGATTGACCCTTGATTCAAATTAGGTGTATGTCACTGACCAAAAAAGAGAACAATTTCCAGTGTTTAGGGTATTAGATTGGGATTTGGGAGATTGGGCTTCATCTGCTTTGACACAAACATTCAGTATTTTCTTTAACTAGTTTCTTAGACTTTTTATGCTTCTGCAAAATACAGTTAACACTTCCTTTTCCATAGAAAACCTTATACCCACCTAAATACTTGCAGGTATAATTCTCTAAACGTTAGTTTTATCAACACTTGTAAGATTCTTTGGTCCTGGAGGACATACGGATTCTATAGCTGCCCCTCTTTAAAGGTTTAAACTCCCTGTTTCTGCACTGAGCAGGCAGTTCCTAGTGCACTGATTTAGGATGAGATGATGACAACCCGTTGGCTTGGGAATCACATAATTTTCCCCATTGCAAGACTTTTTTATCATCACGATAACAAAATATCCTAAATTTGATTTGCAAAAATACTGAAAATGATACAGAGCTTTATAATTTCACAATTTCTCGCTGATTTCACTGGGGAATTTTACTGCAAAATGTACAATATATCAGATTAAGACAGTGATTCTTTTAAGATTATTGCAGTGATTTCTCAAAATACAGAATAGTATGACAGTGAAGAGAAGGGAAAGCATGAGCTTCTGTTGCATAACTATTGATAATGGCGTTAGAGTGAACTTTGGGCTCTGTGTGTCAGGGCCTTTCACAGATCACTTACTTTGAGTGAAGAAATCTCTTTTGTCTCTTGCATCAAAGGCTGGATGATGGCCAGTTTGGTGACTTTGTCCTCCAGTCCCCACACTTTCTCTTGCAGCTGGATTTTGTTTTGAATGAGGTCTTCGATCTTCAGATTCATCTGCTGTGAGAGATTCTTTATCTCGTCATTGTTGATCTGCAGTCTGGCTGTGGTTTGCCTGAGCTGTTCTTCTTCTTCCTTGATTTCGCTGGTTTGCACGGAGAGCTCGTAAAAGGACCTATCAAAAATGTTAAGTTTTTGAAGGATGTCATTCATCTGCCCCTTGGTCTTGTGGACAAAGTCTTTCAGGCCGTGCCCGAGCTGCAGGAGTCCGTTGGCCAAGATTCGTACATCATCCAACATGGCAAATCTGGATTTGGTCTCAGGAGATCCAGCAGAATCAACGGAGAAATAATCCTTGTCTGCTGAAAGAGCAAGGGGGGCCATGAATAGTAGGACCAGAGTGATATTCATGTTTTCTCTTTGTTCATTCAGGATGCAGAGACTTTTCCCGCTAATAGTTTTTGCCGTGTGGCTGCTCTGAGTTGCAGAATTGGGTCTATTTATACTCCTCTTCATTTCAGAAGAGGCGGCCGGTGGGTTGATCATTAAACTGTGTATGTGCACGAACGTAACCCCTCACAGATGTAGGTTGATATCTGGGAAGATAAAACTGAAAGACGGGCACGTTGCTGATTAAACTGGCTCTGAACTTTTCCACCTGCCAGACCTTCTGTTATAAAATGTTATTGATGATGTAGTGTTTTTCACACAACTCTTTCTAATAGATTAATTTTGGGTCATAATCTTGATAAGGGCTCAAATTGCTACTTGTTTGTGTTGTTTGATTCCTTTTATTGCCTCAGGAGTATGAAAGGATTTACCACACTTAAGAGCACTGGGTGTTCAGGTTGTGCAGCTCCTTGATAAACTATGGAAGGGCAAAATATTCCCAGATGATTCACATGGCTTGATTCTCATCTTGTACCGTTTTCTGATGTAACTCATTGTGCTGCAGTGGATTTACTTGTCATCTAGCTCAGATTAAGTGAGAAAGAGGGAATTAGGTCCAGAGATTGCCTGGATGTGATTCTACTATGTTAAGGTTTGTGCAGTAATTTACACCATATAAAACTTATTTTTTAAGAGCTGCTTTCCAGAGGTGGGTGAGATAAATAATATCTCACATTTCTCACCTTACCCTTTTTTTTTTTGCTGTTTAAGATTCATACTACATAAAGCAAGGCTGCAAGTGCTCTGAAGTAAATACCCTGTTCTGCAGTGGGTCTCTGCATGGAAACATGGATGTTTTTTGAGTAGTATTGCAGTGTGAGTGAAAGGTATTTCTCTTTCTGGAATCACTCATAGCAATCCAAGAAATCAAAAACAATCCATGCATAATATAGTCTGTACTTGGGAGAGCTTTTAGGTAGCTAGATTTTTGTATGTTTGTCCAAAAATGGACTTTTTGTTGTTCATGTACAAATGCACGTATGATATGAAGCATCCATAGAAAAATATTTTTAAAATGAAATTGTTGTCTAATATGTTAAACTTCCTGTGTGTTGAAGGCTTTATAATAATGCAGGTAACATCCCCACTCATAATTAATTACTGTGAAAGTATTTTAGATCTCAAATTAATTGCTGGAGAATATTTTGTATTGGATCAGACTTACTGGAGTATCTGAAATATAGAAAAATAGCAGGAGCATGGAGATCATCAGGCCCAACTTTGGGGAGAATGGGGATTTCCTAAAAGAGAATTTTCTGGCATGATAAGCATTTAGGTTGCCCAGAGTATAGAATTTCTGCAATTAGCATCAAAGTACTTAAGTGACTTTGGTTTTATGGGGTTTCAAATGAATAATTTTCTGTTGTTTTAACTGTTTCTTGCCAGAAATCTGTCTAGTTTGTTTTAAATAGTTTTGAATTCTTCCTAACCCCATCACCCCCCAAAAATCCTTATTCTTGGCTTAGTCTTTAGAAAAACATAGGAAGTTACTCAAGAAATAGCAGCTGGAGAACAGACATTTAACCAGGTTTACAGCTTGAGGAGCTCCTGCATGTCCCATGTGCTGCTCGGATGTGACACTACCCTTTAGAAAGGTTTGTTTTCCAGAGGGGAAAGATAGTCAAAATGCTCTGATGTCAAATATTAAAAATCACAATTAGCTGCCAAGCACTTTTCCATATTAATGCCAGGGCCAATGAAGTCAGGCAGTGAAAAGCTCACTACAAAACATCACCTTTAGGTGTCACAACAGTCACAGAGTCCATAAGGAAACCAGGACATAGGAAAACAGAGAGGGGAAAAGCTTCTGGCATGATTAAACCATAAGATTCAGGAGCTGTGGAAACCCAAGGGATAATCCTGCCTCTGAGGGCTGTTAGCCCAGTCAGGGAAAGATGTATATAACAAACATGATCCTGGAGATCTTTTGTGCACCTGGGTGACCCTGATTAAATGGGCTTTAAATGATTTTTATAGTAGGAATAAAGCAAAGCAAAAGGTCTCTGGGTTTTACTGAAAAGGGAAATTTTCATGATAGTTAGGAATTCCCTCTTAAGACTTAGGATCAGCTCTTAATGTTTTAATACCTTTATGATGGATTTTGCAAGATGGCTGCAATCACATTACATAAATGTTTAGAGGAGTGCCTGGTGCCATTATTTCCATGGCTTGGGAAGCCTTTGCACTGTAGCAATTCATTTTATGGAAGTAGAAGTACTTTGGAGATCTGTTTGAGATAATAGGGTAAGCTTTGCATATATTTTGCATAGCATTTTAATAAAGGCTCCAGACACAAGTCCTTGGGTTTAAAGCTCCTGGCTGAAGCTTTTATTGGTAGAAATCAAGACATTTCTAATGTTCCTGTCAGTGTTTTAGTCCTCAGTCCCTTTCCATGGCTCCTGTAACTGTGCTTAGACAGGAAAATCTGTGACTTTTGCCTGTGTAGAGTAGACGACAGGCTGGGAGAGCTGGAGGTGTTCAGCCTGGAGAAGAGAAGGCTCCAGGGAGACCTTAGAGCACCTTCCAGTGCCTAAAGGGGCTCCAAGAGAGCCGGAGAGGGACTTCGGACAAGGGTCTGGAGGGACAGGACGAGGGGGAATGGATCCCGCTCCCACTGAGTTGTCTCCTTCCCTCCCAGCAGCCAAGCCCTGACAGAAGAACTGCAAGCTTGGCTTAGGCTCAGCATAAATCAGTCCAAGCATAAGACTGCCTTTAATATAGGGATCCTGTAGCCTGGCTTCACAAATACCTTAAATCCTTCTCTTAAGCACTAATAATACTTAATAAAAGTTTTATGAGCAAGGTACATTTTAGAGTAAATTTTCATACCCATTTTCATTTTAAAAAGAACATCAAGGAGCAAATGTATTCATGCCAGAACAAAGTAATTTAGGAGAGTCACAAAAATGGCACAGGGCCCCTCTGAAATAGTACTAGAGCGTTGATTAGGCAAAGTGACCAGTGGGGATGGGATTCAAAAACTTAATTCACCATGAAGGACTTGAGAGGGAAGGAATTCCCACATGCCAGCTAAGCATATTCCTCTGCCTGGAGGGGTGAAGCAGAGGTTCATAGCCCTGCCCTGTATATCTATCTGGAGCTGTACAGCTGGACTGCTCTTAGGGAATTCCATAGGACCAGTGTTAGCCCATGTCTGTATAGATGGGACTGTCCATGGCTATCGGGGAGCAAATGGAGTTGCTGTCAGAACCAAGTCCTTGGGTGGGATTCATTGGCCAAAAAATTGACATCTGATGCCATTTCAGACAGCTTAGGGCAGCCCCTCTTTCCAGCTGCTCCTCCAGGAGGGTCCCACCTCTAGCCCAGTGCATGTGTTTTGGATACCCACGGCATCTAAAAAGGGACCAGGTACCTTCACTGAGTTACCACCCTCCTGAGAATCCAAAAAAGAGTATCTTAGTTTTCAGCCTCTTGTTGCCAGCACTCCACAGCAGCTGCTTTATTGTGCCTTAAATGTTGTCCTGCTGTGCTGCTCACTTCACTTTTCTGTACCCATCTGTTGTTTTCTGTCTCTCTGGGACAAGCAACAGTTGGAAACTACTTAAAAATTGTGTTCAGATCCACTGAATAGTTCCCAGAGGGGGACAGCAGGGAAAGGGGCCTCCTTTTCCTCTTGCCCTACAAACCAGGGGTATTAAAAAGCTGGTTCTTCAGTGTTTGGGTAAAATGCAACGTGCCAGTTGTTTATTCCTGGCAGATAAAGGCAGCACATGAGTAGGCAGTGTGAGCATCCCTCTTGGATCCTGTGGTTGGAGCTATAGGAGCCAGGATGTCCAAGGGGGAATGATGCTGGTGGGGATAGCAGGGCTATGTGGGAGATGGATTAGGGATTTCCAGGCTCTTTTAAAGGTGTATAATAATGCATATATTTTGGCTTGTTTGGAGGCTAAAGAAGGTACATTTCCTTTGAATAACTGAGTGTTGAGTGGAAAAGTTTTGGGGCTGTTGTCTTTTTTACTTTAAAAGAATATGCAAGGGACTTTCTCCTAAGGGTCTAAATTATATGCTTATAAGCCAGGTGGGGACTTATAGGGGACAGTTTTGCTAATAAAGTGTGAATCCAACTTTCACCTTCTTGTCAAAGACTCAGTGGGTCTCAGAGGATGGAAAATACTGCAGAATTTTGCATCTCATCGCTGTTCAAGTAATCACAGACTTGAAGAAACAGAGCTGAAAGGGGTTTCCAAAGTGTGTCCTCTGCCCAGTGAAGGTGGCTTGTCTATAAACCCATCTGGAGGGGTGTCTGCCTCACCTCTCCTCAGAAACTACCAGAAAATGGAGATTTCACACCCTCCCAGGCAATTTGTTCTACCGCTTAACTCTCCTTAGAGCTAGAACGTTTTCCCTTGTGTCTGTCCTAAATCTCCTGTGCTGCAATTTCCTCCCATTACATCCTGCCACGTTCCCTGTGGATGTGATGAGCACTTTATTACTTTGGTCTCTGAAGCAGTTCTTTAGATACTTTGGAGTGTTGTCATTACCTGAAGCTACAGATACCCATTTAGTTTAATCCATTTTCAGAGGAGAAATGTAACCTGGAGTCATCATGATGTCAAGAGATTTTAAAAAAAAGAAAGAAAAAAAGAACAGGCCGCAAGAAGGGGGATATTTAAGAGAAACCAGCTGCTTTGTATTGAGCAAATAAATACCTCTCAGTAGTTTTATATATGAACAATCATGTTTTCTTTCCACCTGAACTTCTGATATTGTAGAATCACTGGGAAATTTTTATGTATTTTTTCAAGTGCCTTTCTAAACAGGAACTATTTCAAAATATGATGAGAGTTTAAAATTATGTCTTTTGATGTCTGAAATAAGGGGTCAAACCCTTCATTTTGACTCTCTGAGTGTTTCCACAGGGGTTTAAATAACAGCATTAATAAATGTGTGAACCCTCTCATCACTTGATGCCTTTGTGTCTTGCAGGAATCTACTTTATGTCTATCCACAGAGCCTTAACTTTGCCAACCGCCAAGGATCTGCCAGGAATATCACTGTAAAAGTCCAGTTCATGTACGGAGAGGACCCAAGCAATGCCATGCCGG